CACGGGCTGGTCCAGCTCCCTCCACCTTTCAGCACAAACACTGATGAGACTTTTCCTCTGATTACTGCAAGTCATGGACCGGGGGTGCGTGTGTGTACACGAGCGTCTCCAAGCACCGCAGGAAATTTGGGTTGTCACTGGGAGAAACACAGGACAGTCAAATAAAATTTGTGAAAGCCCCTCTCGCTTAAACCTTGTCAAAATGTTGAAGACTTAAAAAACAACTCTTTTAAAGCTGTACATTTATTTTAGGAAGCCCTCCCCAGACCCAAGCAGGGCCCAAACTCGGGCCGCCACCAGACCAAGAGTCACCTGCTCTATCGACTGAGCCAGCCAGCTGCCCCTGGTTAGGTTCATGATTTTTAAGATGCGAGTCAATAAAATGAATCGGTGACTTGCATGGCAGTTATATTGTAACAAATTTTTCCAGGCTCTCCCGTCTTGCCCAAGGAAATTAGAAACAAAGGAAAATGGTGAAGGGAACATTAGCCTGCTGATTTTCTGGTTTTCTACAATTAATCATTGGATATGCGGAAGAAGATACAGTAGAATGTACCAGCGTTTTTTGGCCTCTGTGGGCCCTGGATTTACTAGCTGCAGTTGCTAGTGAACAGTAGTCAGGGCCAGGTGCTGCCTCTGGTTGAAGAGACTGGTGTGGCTTATGTCACATTGTAATTTTCACAGAGGCCACCACAGGATCTCCTTGTCTACTTATTCTTCCAAGGGGATGTTGACACTCCTCCCATTGAATGGTGGGGTCTGTATCCCCTCTCCCCTGCCCCTAAACTGGGCGAGTTTCAACCAATACAATGGGCAGAAGTGATGTCACAAAAGTGAGGTCATAGAAGATGATACTGCAGCCTTCTGCCTTTCAGAATCATCTCTTGGGAGGCACGAGGTTTACATGGGAGCTCTGGTCACCTGGAGGCTGACATGCGGTGTGGCAGCTCGGGCTGTACGGAGAGGCTCGGACGAGGTTCTAGGTGATCGCCAGATGTAGGAGTGAAGACGACTCCAGGTGATGCTAGCTCCCAGAGTGGAGTCTTCCCAAATGGGGTCCCAGACACCGTGGGGCAGAGAGAAGCTGGTTTTGCTATGGCCTCCAAATTCCATATCCACAGAATCTGGGAGTATAAGAAAATGGTTGTTTTAACCTACTAAATGTTGGAGTGGTTTGTTACATGGCAATAGTAGTTGGAACAGATAGGAAACCAGGAGCCTTATCGAGTCCCCGAGTCCTCCTGAGAGATTTCATTGGACAATTAGAGAGCTTCTTGAAACATTTTTTGAAAACCTCTGAATTAGCCAATCTTTAAGGGCTCTGAATTCTAGTTTCTAAGAATCCTGGGATGTATTAGTCTTATTAAGAAAGAGCAGGATCTTGCCTAGTGCTATGGGTTGAATCGTGTTCCCTGTAGTGGCCAAGGACAGGCCACCCTGAGATGGGCCACTTTGGCATGAAGATAATTTTGAGCTGAAGGCGAATGAGGCCCTGAGAAAGTTTTTGCCTCTCCCTTAACTACACAGAAGAATCTAAACTGAGGTCTTTCCCAGAATGAGGTTTATCAGCGGAGATGCACTTATCTGAGTGACCTATCTACATGGTCCAGCAAACATCTAATTACCAAACATCTGCTCTTCTTCCTGCCTGGGAATTGCATTTCTTCCCTTGGAAGTCCCAGACCTCCACCCCCTTCTCCTTAGTTCAGGATGACATATAGATCTCATTTTTCCTGTTTCTAGGATTTCCAGTCTGTGTGGATTCCCCACAGGTATGTCATTTAAATTGATTTTTCTCCTGCTAATTTCTCATATCAATTTGATTCTTAGTCCAGCCAGAGGGACTTTGAAGAGGACACGAATTCTTGCTCTCCAGCACCTTAAGAATGATGAAGTACCAATCCCCTGTACCTGGGAAAGTGGCCTTATTTGCAAATAGAATCTCTGCAGATTATCATATTAAGGTTAAATTATTAGGGTGGGCCCTAATCCAATATGATGGAATTCTTTTTTTTTTTTTTTTTTAAATTTTTTATTTATTTATGATAGTCACACACACACAGAGAGAGAGAGAGAGAGAGAGGCAGAGACATAGACAGAGGGAGAAGCAGGTTCCATGCACCGGGAGCCTGACGTGGGATTCGATCCCGGGTCTCCAGGATCGCGCCCTGGGCCAAAGGCAGGCGCCAAACCGCTGCGCCACCCAGGGATCCCTGGAATTCTTATAAAAACAGGAAGTTTCAGGGCACCCGGGTGGCTCAGTTGGTTAAGTGTCTGCTCAGGTCTTGATCTCAGGATCCTGGGATTGAGCCCCATGTGGGGCTCCCTCTCCCTCTGCCCCTCCCTCTATTCATACAACTTGTGTTCTCTCTCTCTCTCTCTCATAAGTAAAATCTTAAAAATAGAAGAGGGGAGTTTGAACACAGAGGTAGACACACAGTGAAGATGCCAAATGAAGATGAAAGCAGAGATTGAGTGACGCACCTGTAAAATCAAGGATTGTCAAAGATTGCGGACAAACCACCAAAAGACAGGAGAGAGGTGTGGAGCAGGTCTTCTCTTACAGCCCTTGGATGCCACAAGCCCCACTGACACCTCGATCTAGCACTGTGAGATGATAAATTTGTTTGTGGAAGCTGGCCCGCATGTGGTAGATTGTTATGGCAGCCCTAGGAAAATAATCCATCCCCGAACCAGTGCGGACAGGGATGATGGCCCCTTCAGAGCCCCAAGGCTCCCAGTTATAGAGTTAGGCTGTCCAAATGTTAGAGTATGATTTTAACAAGATTACTCCACGAAGACTATATGAAATCATAAAGGAATCCCAAGAACCACTGCAATTAAGATTGAAGAAATATTATGATTTTTATATTAAAATCACTGCTGGAAGTTTATTATTTTTATCTTAGACCATAAAGGAGATATAAAACACAAAAGTATGTGCTGCCTCCTTTGTGTCACTTTTCCCAAGAGCTATGTTACCTGGATCCATTACTAAAAATTGAACTAATAAATATTTTTTAAAGGGTTATGTCTTGGGACGCCTGAGTGGCTCAGAGGTTGAGCATCTGCCTTCGTTCGGCTCAGGGTGTGATCCCAGAGTCCAGGGATCAAGTCCCATATTGGGCTCTTTGCATGGAGCCTGCTTCTCTCTCTCTCTCTCTGTGTGTGTGTGTATGTGTGTGTCTCAGAAATAAAATCTTTTAAAAAACTAAAAAAATAGGGCAGCCCGGGTGACTCAGCAGTTTAGCGCCACCTTCAGCCCAGGGTCTGATCCTGGAGACCCAGGATCGAGTCCCATGTCAGGCTCCCTGCATGGAGCCTGCTTCTCCCTCTGCCTGTGTCTCTGCCCCTCTCTCTCTCTCTGTCTGTCATGAATAAATAAATAATATCTTAACAACAACAACAAAAAACTAAAATACTAAAAGATAAAAAAAAATAAAAATGAGAAAATAAATGGTGATATCTAAATGTAACAAGTTGAAATAAAATCAATTTCTTGAAAGATTAAAAAAATGAAGAGAAGGCCCATTTTCCACTTGTTTGGAAACTTTTTCTTTTTTTAAGATTCTTATTCATTTGACTCAGAGAGAGAGAGATCGAGAGAGCACAAGTAGGGGGCATTGCAGGCAGAGGGAGAGGGAGAAGCAGACTCCCCACTGAGCAAGGAGCTCGATGAGGAGCTTGAGCTCATCACCCAGGATCATGACCGGAGCCAAAGGCAGACGCTTCACCGACTGAGATATCCAGGTGCCCTGTTCACAAACTTTCTAACAAGATTCCCTAAATCAAAATAATCAGAATGGCCAGTTTGGTTTATGTTTGGTAATAACTCCTTTGTCTAATACTATGTCTTTTATGCAAAATATTTAAACTCTGCAAATACTTTCATCTAAGGTATGCTGATCATATTCATGTTTGTACCTTGCTTTGTTCAAATATGAAATCTAAAACATATAGCCTGCATTCAAAGAATTGCTCACAAAAATAATACAGCCTCTCGCTTTTTTCTTACTTGGATACTTAGGATAATATTGAAACTTATACTCAGAAATACATAGGGTCAGAGTATCTCACAGAGTCTAAAATTGTCTTTAGTGACTTCCCTCTTATATATTTCTGAACCCAAACAAAAATGCTTATATCTCACTAGCCTGAACAACAGTGAATAACTGAATCAATTTATTCAACATCAGTGTTTATCTCAATATTATGCATAAATGAAAGGGCCAGAAGATGGGCCATTGGAAGGCACCAGTGGGCCGACTTCTCTGTATGTGCAAGTTGCCCTGAATCGCCAGCTCTCTGCATTCTATTGCATTTCTCAGCTCATGTCTCCAAAATTTCTCGAGCTGCCACACGATCCTGTGTGAGTTTCTGATGCACACACTCACAGGGCCTCTTGCCACACTCAGAATCCTTCTTGGTCTCAACAGTCTTTCTCCCAAAGGCTACCAGTTGATTATCAGTAAGATGATGGAGTCACAAGTGACTATAGGAAAACACGGCAAGTGACAATTTAGCTTCAAAAGTTATTTTCTTCTGCGTGAGTGGCATATAAAGTTTTCTTAAAAAGGACTTCCATAAGCCCGAAGGGTATGTGGCTAACGAGGGGAGGCTTCCTAGCTGAGCAGAAGCATCCTGATTCCTTTAAGTAACCACAATCATTACCGTGGAAGTGTTTTGTGAAAGCTGCGCTGGACAGCAATTGCATAATCTGATCTGGCAAAGGCACAGCCGCTGCACTCCAGACTACATATTAAAGCACTAATTACTCAAATGGAACTCCAGGGGCACCTGAGGTGGATGCAGCAGCACAGTGAATTAAGGAAGGAAATAATTAGTCACAATTGCAGAAACTCGCTAAACACGAAGTGAAAGAAGGCATGCTGCCTATTTCCTGCGCAGTACAGAGAGCCCTAGCAACGGCATATGCGAAACCCAGGAGAAATGCAAGAGATAAACACAACTTCTGTAATCGAATAAGGGACGAATCTCAATTTTGAATTACAAAAATGACTTTATTTCCGTTATTTTCTGTTCCTATGTGCTACATAGCCAAATAACATGAAGACATTTTGTCGGGAATTTGCGCTTCGATGAATCGACTCTCAAGCATTTTCTTGACAGTCTTAGAGGTTTTACCAGCATTTGACACAATCTGGACAGAGAGTGAGAGAAAATAAGTAGCAGTAAAAAGAAACAACTAAGTGAGCACATAAGGCATTGAGTTTCAACTCCAGTAAAAATACTCATTGGAGAGGCAGTCAGGTCGGGGAGGAAACAGTATTCAGCAGAGAGCAAATCTGTACTTACATTTAAAACCATGCATAGGAACCGTTACTTAACATGGCCAACAGGTTAAGTTGTTCAAAGTACCCCTTTTCAAGGTCTTCTGATTAAAAAAAAAAAAATCCCTGGGCCAGAGGACACTCTTCCCTCTCCCCAGAATTTAAGGATATTACCTGTGTCAGTACATGGCTCTGGGAAGAGGCAGTAAGAGTGGACACCTAGTTTGAAAGGCTGGTATGAAATTGTACTAGAAGCATGTCGCTGAGGCCTAAATCTGATAAATCAATTTTAGTACATGTGCTGCCAAAGCGAGCACTAAATCTGATAAATCAATGGTAGCATTTCCCTCACTCGTAACTGGGCTGTTTTGTTCACTTGTCTTACTAACTTAGGGTGACTACAGGAATCTACCGTGAGTTCTTGAGACCCTACCAAAAATGTGAACTGCTTGGCTAGCATTATCACATTCAGTATTAATGGGAGAACACAAGTGGAAATTATATTAAAATTTATCTTATCCATTCACTGCTAAGTGCTGCTGACCATTTTCATTCGTAAAGATGGATCATGAGTGTTCACTGTTTAAGTAAATATAGCATGACTCTTAATCAGGGCTTTGGTAAGAAATTAGAGAGTCGAATAAACTACTTAAAAATGGACTTTTTAAAAACAATAGAAATAGAAAAACAAACAATAGCAAAACTCCTCTTGGGGGAAATGGTAAGAAGAGACACAAAGAATCTGTCTTCTCTTTCTTCATCTCAGAAATCATAAGACAGCATATTGCAAGAACTTGGACTTTCCTCACCCCAAGTAACCCGAGAAAGATTCCAGGTTGTTTAAGATCCTCTCTAAGAAGACAGCTTGAGAGGCAGATAAAGAGGCACCTCTGAATGAACAAAATACTCATTGCAGGCATATTTTCCAGGCCTTTCTGAAAATGCAGTGCTGCTGAACAGGATGCCATGTAAATTGCTGGAAGTCTTTGCAGTAGCTACATGGGAAATGTAATGGCAGGGAAAAGGTGAGTGAACGACAAGAAAAATTTACAGTTGTCTCACTGTATCAAGAACACTTATGTATTAAAAGTGTTGTGTTAAAAACAAAACAAAGCAAAAACCTCATACATAATTAGTTTTCTGAGGTGTGGTCTTAGGTGAGTTCCACTGGGGTATAATTATATGCTCTGCTTCAACCAGACCATCACCGGAGACCTGTTCTATACTTAACCATTAAAACTGACCCAAAAGTATACCCATCATGGGCCTCAAGCAGCCATAGGAGATATGAGTACATGTGGTGCTTTTATATTTACATAAGCAGCTTCTCATGAATCCTACAGAGGTTGGAGAAATAGAGCTAGTTGTTCCTTTTTATTTAGCAAGAGCACTTGTAAAATACAGAAAGGGAATAGGTAAATACCCCTTTTACACTGAGTTGATCCATTAAAGGACTTTAGAAAAGTCAGCAGTTCATTTACCTGAGTTTCCCATTTAAAGGCTAAATGTAATTGAATACTTTTTGCTTATAAATGTGAACAAAAACTTGTAATATTGAAAAGGGCCAGAGTCAGAAAATTGAGACTCAAGATGGAATTGGAGACTTTTGAATTTTTATAAAATCTAATAGAAACATCTATGAGTTTTCCTTCTTAGTTAAAACATAAAGTCATAGAACAATACTGATTTACTGGATGTTATTTAGAATTTAGGTTAGGGGTCAGCCTGTGAAATCATTAAGAAAACAAATCAGAGTCTTTTGGAATTGTGAGCAAAGTTTACAAGTGATAAAACTACTAGTCACTTTGGTTATGAACCCCTGTGACATGAATTAATACCAGATAAAGACTTCAGCATAAATATGATTTTTAACCTGAATAGATCCCTTTCAAAGGGTGATATAGAAAATAACTATAAATTTTATCCAGAAAAATAGTGCACCCAGTGTTGTAACAGTAGTTATTTAAGCTTACCTTTCAACAGGGTATTTCTGTCATGCTCAGCCATGGAGAATCTTCCAAGTCTTTTGTTTGTTTAAAACAAAGAGGGCTGTGTTTCTAAATACAACCCATTGTTCATAATCAAGATCCTAACCATATTCTGGAATTGAATATTGTCTCCTATAAGAAACATAGCCATGTGACTATTTTAAACATATCATTTCAATTCTAGGTGGGAAATAAGTTATACAAAATCCACTGTTCCAACACTCTGACATAGAGCAGAAACAATAAAGCAATCTGGACTACATGATTTCATTACTAAACAAATGAAAGCATCTCTTTCCCAAATCCTTCACTCCACGACGTCTCCTAGCATTTCAAACGTGACTGAGGTACATGTATGTGCTGAGTAGTTCTGTATATGACTCTGTATATGACTCCAAGCAGCACTGCGCAAAATCACCAGGATCAAGGAGCAAAATTTAAAAGCAGTATTTTGAAACCCCAAATCATCTTTCTATTTTCTTTCATTGTTAAGTCACAAAACTCTCTTAGATCAGACTAGAGTTCCGAAAACAGTCAGTGTGAATTTATCACATAAGACAATATTCCTATGATCCGTAATACTGGTCACGGGTTGAGGGCACAAATAAGTGTTTTCATTTTCCTGTTCTACACAGCTTAAGAATCAATAGCAGATTTTGCCCAAGATGCATATACTACGTTGGCTTAAATACGAAGATAAATAAAAGCTCTGCTGACCATCAGACAAAAATGATTTCTAAGTGGCATCCACTTAGCAATTTATTCACCCCTTTTGAAAAAAGTCACAGAACCATTTTAGATGAGATGCTTATTTTAAGCCAAAAAGCAGATGTCCTGTGCTCACATCACTAGCATCCGTAGCAAGGGCAGGATTTCGGAAGATCCATTTCATAGATGTGGATTATTCTGCATAACAGGGAAAATCTGAATAGATGGCCACCCCACCCCATTTCATAGATGTGGATTATTCTGCATAACAGGGAAAATCTGAATAGATGGCCACCCCACCCTGGCACCCAGTGCACTTGAGTACAGCGCACCAGCTCTTTCAGAGAGCGCTTAAGCAGTGAATTTTCTTTCTCTCTGATGTACCCACATATCAAGATATAAAAGATAATTAAATTACTTAAAAACCAGGCTTCTGATTCTGATTTTTAATTTAATTACCTATTTTAATTAAAATAAATCTAGCTTCTCTAAGGTTGTTCACCAGTACTACATAGCAATATTAAAGGTGGGGGGAGGGGAGCCTCTGTATTTTGTTTTTAAAATGATATCTTTGAAATGTTGGTGGAAATGCAAGTTAGATTATAAATGACCAATTCAGATCAGTCAGCCATGGAAGATCATTGTTTTCACTCACTTATGAAATCCTAGCCTAACGATATCACATTGACTGTCAGGTATATGAAATAACACAATTCAGGGTTCTGTTGGAGATGAAGAGTAATTTTAAAAACAACAGTCTGTGACAATGCACTTATGTGAATTTACACTCCAGAGAGGAGTGTTCTGTAGGATGAAGGACTTGGCCAATGCAGAAGGCAGCTGGTATTACAAGAATTAGCACAGACTCCTTGGCGCATACATGATGAAAACAAAAGTAAGGACCCTGTACAGGTGTAAACAAGCTAAAAATGGCATTGGCAAAATATCTCTTTCAAAAATACCAAAAAGCATGCAACTCAAGATTCCCTCCCATAAGAATGAAATGACAAAAAAAAAAAAAAACAAACAAACAGATGGAACCATCTGTTTCTGTCAGTAGAAAACAATAATAGATACATCAGGTTCCAGGACAAATAAAACTTTAAAATATTAATGTTGAAAAAATACAATTAAATTTTTATTAAAAAATACACACTCCTTACTCAATCTTGTGTACATTTTGTTTTGTGTGAAAGAGGAAAAAAATAAAATAAAATAGGAAAGGCATCAAGACTACCTAGTTATTTATACTGTATTTGGTAGAAGCGTGTTTCGGTCAAGCTTTAAAGCAAAAAATCAGTTATTCTGCTTTCATTTGCTCCCGGACATCGGAAGGCAGAGTTTCAAACAGAGCATCCTCCACCACGAGCCCGGCTCGCTTCAGGGCCCGGCAGTCACCCAGTTCGGGAGGGAGGATTTCAAAGTGATTGCCCTTCACGTCTAAATAGGAAAGAAATAATAAGTTTCCAATTTTCGGTGAGAGTACCGATAGGCTGTTTTTCCCAATCTTCAGGGTTTTAAGTTTCTTGCAGAAGTAGAGTTCATCTGGAAGGCTCTCCACTTTGTTACACGTGATGGAAAAATACTGTAAACTCTGTAGGACTCCGACCTCCGGTGGGATGAACCGAATGTCATTGTAGGACAGGTCCAAGTATCGGATTTTGTTGCATAGGAAGAGATGGGAGGGCAGCACCTCTATTTTGTTGTGGCTGAAGGCCAGGCGCTCCAGGCTGGTGAGTTTCTTTATATGCTCTGGGATGTAGGTGATGCTGTTGTGCCACAGTTTTAGCACTGTCAACTTCCTCAAGTGCTGGAAGCTAACGATTTCTTCTATAGATTTCAGGTTATTCTCTTTGAGGTCCAGTTCCTGGAGGCTCAGCAGGCTGAACACGGCGTGGGGAATGCGTTCGAGGTCGCAGTGGACCAGCTCCAGCTCTGTCAGATTGGTCATCTTCTTTAAGTTGTTGAGCATCACCAGCTTGGTGCCGTCGTTATGTATGCACATCTTCTGGAGGTGGCTGGAAACGTCCACCACTGCCTGGGGGATTTTGGAAACGTTGCTTTTGATTGAGAGGATTTTAAGGCTTTTGAGATCCCGCAGAGACTCAAGAGTGACATTTCTGGAAATATCATGACTTAGAGAGCCAACCAGATAGAGCTCTTCCAGATTCCGGAGCCCATACATCCAGGGGGGCAGCTCCCTCATATCATCAAACTTGACGCTCAAGACCTTGAGGTTTTCCTTCAGGAAAGAGAGGGCTGCGCTGTGGATCTTGACAGAGCACTGGTGCAGCGAGAGCTCCTGGAGATTGTCCAGCTGCGCGATGGTGGCGGGTATCATCACGTTCTTGATGATTTCAAGCTTGAGAGACTGCAACTCCGTGATCTCAAAAACTGTGTCTGGAAGGCCAGAGAGCATGATCAGAGGCAGTTCCAGCCGGTTGTGGGCGTTTGTCTGTAGCTTCTGCCTCAGTTTGTCGGGAGTCCACTCGTTATTTAAGTTCAGCTGTTTTAATTTGTTCTCGCTCACTTCCGACAGGAACACCGCAAATCTCTTGGAATACAGTGGGTCGTACTGATCTATCATATGAAGCATAAAAGCAAAGTCATTTTTCACATCTGGAATATCATCAATTCCAGTCTCCTGCCGGACATACTCGAAAGAGTATTCCCGTAGAGAACGGTAGAACAGCCAATATAAGGTATAAAGGCACGTCAATCCGTAGATACTTACGAAACACAGGTAGCAGAAGGACAGTTTGGAGAACAAGTGTGCCATGGTGTGGTTACAAGAAAAGTTCTTATATCCAGTCATGTCCTGAATGTCGACATTACAGTCCACCGTAAACTGAACCTTGGAGACCAGGGCGCTATTATAGGCAATGATGATGAGGAATTTTATGACCTTAAGGACAGTCTGGCGAACATACATAGCGTACAGTATATCGCCTTCTTCTACGTGCAGCCTGAACTTCTTTACCTTCTCAAACAAGGCCTTTGCTTGCTCCCCTTCCTTCTTATCCAGAGCTCCTGCAGTGGATTTGTCAACCACAAACTTCTCGGGAATTGACTTTAGGGACTGAGAGTTGACCAGGCTGCCTTCTGGGCCAGACTGGATGGTGTTGGACCTGCTCATGTTGTTCTTCCGGTTGTCCTTCTCTTCTGAGTCCTCCCCAGACACTTCTGATAAAGCCCGGGTGGTCCACGGAGAGTCAAAACACTTGCCCAGGATGGAGATGAAATGTTCTATTTTGGAGCTGGAGCCAGGGAATTTGAACCAGAAGTTGCTGCAGAGCATGAAGACCAGGGTATGGATGAGGACAAGGTAAGGGAAATACTTGGCATACCAGTGGAGGGCTCGCTCATAACACATCTGGTTTATGAAACTGTACTGCTGAAGATCCAAATCTGTCTTTAGTCCTTTCATTTCCACAGTGGCGGGGTTGGTAGGAGATGGTTTAGGGGGAGGCAGCGGGGTGGTGCTGGCAACTGCTTGAGAGACGTTTGAAACGGAAGAGTGATTCTGAGAAGGCTGAACTCTTTTTGGAAGGCAGATTATCTTGTCTTGCATGACCTGAAACACAGAAGTAATATTTTCAAATTATATTATTCAAAGAGCTCTGATAATGTCATTAGTGTGAAGAAAGCAGCCATAACATCCAATAAATGTCCATTTCCTTTGCCTGGAGAATGCAACGTTCGATTCCGGCACCGAGATTTTATTCCCTGCCCATGTGCTGGGAAAAAGAAATATCTGACTTTGCTCATCATGTGTAAGTTATGACACAAAACACAGCTGTTTTCTAGGCCACAGAAGAACTCACAACAAAATAAATATTTGAGGAACGCTCATGTATTTCAAAATTTTGCATTTCTTCTTTCACTGGAGCCTGGGAGAATCAGTCATTGGTCTGGGAAGTACATCCCCTTATCAGACTCGATCTTGAATTGGACGGCTCCCAAGATTAGATGGGCTTGCGTATGAGAATTAACAGGATTGGCAGCAGGAAATGTTGGAAGAAATTCCTGTCTTTATCATTTCCCCTTTACTTTCTGCCCATATCCTGGACTGCATGCATAGATGGATCCAAATGGCCTTCATAAAATGGGAATTCACTAAGCTTTTATAAAAACCATTTCATCTCTCTGCTCCATAGTAAAATAATTAGGTTTCAACTTGCTGGCTTTTCACACAAAATGTTACATTGAAAACTTTTATCCTTCCAGCAATATCTCAATTTGTCGAAAACAACAACAACAACCACCCAGTAAATCCTAAGAATGTCCAATAGTCTCACAACACTGCTTTTTGGGTAAGAGAGAATGCATCCTTTTTATTTTATTTTTTTAAGATTTTATTTATTCATTTGAGAGAGAGCAAGCATGAGAGCACAAGCAGGGGGAGCAGCAAAGAGAGAGAGAGAGGGAGAAGCAGGCTCTCCCCCTGACCAAGGAGCCCAATGCAGGGCTCAATCCCAGGACTCTGGGATCATGACCTGAGCTGAAGGCATATACCCATGACCTGTTGGGCCACCCAGGCACCCCGAGAGTGCATCCTTTTTAAAGATGAAGGAGTATGAGGCCAAATACTCTTTGAACAACCTGGAAAAACTGTCCCTAGGAACAATAAACAAACAGTTCAGAGGGAAAATAATAACCAAGGAATTGACAGCAGTAACATGTGGAATCAATAACGCAGGGAAAATCTACTTGTACCTTAAAATGTCAAATGGCTGGAAATCCATAGCTTTCAGTGATTCAGCAACAACAAAACATTTAGCGATTTTGCTAACAAATAGCAAAGTCCTTTATATTGATTATAGAAGCAGAAATTGAATCCATTGCAAAGTGGGCCACTGTGGCAGGGGAATGTGATCTCAAGTTGGTGACAGGAGAGATACAGCCCAGCAGACAGAAGTACAAGGTCTGACAATGGAATGGAGCAACCAACATGGAGCAGAGTGCCCAATGCAAAGGAGCCCACCAGCATGTGTCTGCTGAGAAAAATGAATGAATCCAGAACCGACACTAGAACTTCCAGTTCTGAATTGCATATGTCTGGTGTGTTGCCCATCCTGGGGGCAAAGGTAAGGATAGTGATTATACCGCTGACAACAGAAAACTTCTACTATGTTTAATATGCAACTGACCCTATCCTAAAAATATCACGGGTATTATCCTTTTAATTGTCACCTGAATCTGATGAGGCAGGTACTCTTATTACTCCCATTTCATAGATGAGGAGACCAAGGCCCAGAAAGGTTAAGTTACTAGCTAATGCCATCTTCCTCAGGCCACCTGGACCCAGAGCTCATTTTCCTATTTTATTTTACTGCATTTCTAGAATTAAACAAAAAGATCCCAATCTGACTTTATCATAAGTAACAAATTTCCTTATGCAAATTATGCCCTAGGAAAAGAGCTCACATCTTCAATACTGTACGCAAATAACAATGAAAGAGATGAGGTTAGGGGAAGAAAGGAAATCTCACTATAAAACAGTTTATAACTATAAAACAGTTATAAAAGCTCTGTCCTGGAAGATAAAGCAGGGAACAATTACTTACTATGTCAATCAGAAGAAGCAAGAAGAAATCACACATGTGACTGCATTTATAGAATTCAGAGATTACAGAGATGTGAGAACAGAGCAGTGGTCTTCAAGTGTTTTTATCACTTACCTATGTCAGAGAAAAAATGCTGAGTGTGCCCACTCAGTATATGTATGTCTTATTCATAATTAATCCATAAAGTATTGTCAATCCATACGTGAAATATTAGAAAAGCATAATTCCTTTCCCTTGAAGCTTAAAATAAATACAGGCATACCTTGAAGATATTGCAGGTTCAGTTCCAAAGGACCACAATAAAGCAGATATTGCAACACAGCAAGTCAAATGATATATTTGGTTTTCCAGTGCAGAGAAAAGTTACATTTACATTAGACTATAGTCTATTAAGAGGGCAAAAGTGTCAAAAAAAAATGTACACCATCATCTGTGCTTTCAGCAGGTCATAATCACTGGTCACAGATCACCATAGCAAATATAATACTAATGAAGAGGTTTCAAACATTGCAAGAATCATCCAAATGTGACACTGAGACATGAAACAAATGCTGTTGGAAAAATCGAGTCAATAGACTTGCTCGATGCAGCATTGTCAGAAATCTTCCATTTGTGAAAAACACAGCATCTGCAACGTGCAATAAAGGGAAGTGCAATAAAATGAGGTGTGCCTGTCTAACTAAAAGTTTTCGTTTTTATCTCACATCTCAACGCAGCATCCTTTGCATTTCTGGTGGAGGGGGTGTCAAGGACTCTACCTCGGAAACCCCTGGAATAGAAAATAGCAGGAGGAAGTCTAGACAAATGCCAGACTACCCTGAAGGAATACAGGAGAAAGAGAAGTAAGCAATTCAGTGTCTGGGGTCATGTTCTGGATGTTTTCCCATTCACGGTCTCCTTTAATGCTCCAACAAGTCTGCAAAGTAAGCAGAAGGTAGGGGCTGGAGATGAGCAGGGGAAGGGAGCACCTCCCTGAGCACCTTCGCCAAGAGTGACACCTGTGAGCTGGTGTTAAGGTGGCATCTTCAGCGTTGTGACGAAAACACAGAAGAATTGGTTTGTGCAAGGAAAATCAGTTAGAAGGTAAAAAGGCAGCCAGGCACCTTCTTCAAGTGCTAACTCTCTGCCAAGCACCCGGGCAGATGCCCTGGCCTGCGGCCTGGCCTGCACCTCCCCAGCTTGCTCCTAAAGGTGGAAGACGACGGACGTCTGGAGCTTGCCTTTCTGGGGCTTCAGGTTATGCGCTGCACACGGGTGCCAAGCAAGGGGCAGGGGTGCGCTGAAGTCCTGCTGTACTCCCCGCGGCGGGATGGCAGCCCCATCCTCTTGCGGCTGTCTATGGTCACAAGGTGGGGGTACCTTTTTATATTCCGCACAAAGGAACCTGACTGGCTAGCACCTGTCATTCTCCCCATTCTACAAAAGGAAAAGACCAACTCCGGTTCAGAGAATGTGTATAATGTGTCCAAGTTCACATAGCCAGGAAATGGTAGCGCGGGAAGTTATTTTTTGATTTATATTATTATTATTATTTTTAATGATTTTATTCATTTATTCATGGGAGACACAGAGACCTGGGGAGCCCAATGAGGGACTCGATCTCAGGACCCCAGGATCACGACCTGAGCCGAAGGCAGATGCTCAACCCCTGGGCCACCCAGGCGTCCCGGTAGCACAGGAATATGAACCTGACTTCTGTCCTCCTACCACTGCACGCGGCTTCTCATTTCACCAGGCTTCTGCGAGGAGGGCTTCAGAGAACAGCCCAGCACAGGGGAGGGGGACAGAGCTGATCTCCCTCAGTTCCTCTCAGTCTCCTGATGCCAGATTTCCCCTTCGGTCTTCATGAAGACAGAATTTTTTAAACGTGCTCACTTAAAGCCCAGGAGGAGAAGGACGGTGATCTGTTTTCCAGCAGCTGTTAACTAATCAGAAGTGAGCACAGAGTAGAAAAAAACGCTGGAATTCAGTTCCTAAGAACAATAGGTGCTCCTGCTGCTGAGAGAATGTTTCCTAAGAAGATTCTAGCAGGGGCGCCTGGGTGGCTCAGTCGGTTAAGCCTCTGCCTTCAGCTCAGGCCCTGATCTGGGATCCTGGGGTGGAGCCTCGCATGGGGGCTCCCAGTTCATCAGGGAGTCTGCTCGTCCTCTGCCTCTGTGCTCTCTCCTCTTCTTTTCTCTCAAATAAATAAATACAATCCTTTAAAAAATTTTTTTCACTTTTATTTTTTAAAAAATATTTTATTTAGGGATCCCTGGGTGGCGCAGCGGTTTGGCGCCTGCCTTTGGCCCAGGGCGCGATCCTGGAGACCCGGGATCGAATCCCACGTCAGGCTCCCGGTGCATGGAGCCTGCTTCTTCCTCTGCCTGTGTCTCTGCCTCTCTCTCTCTCTGTATGACTATCGTAAATAAAATAAAAGAGTTTTTTAAAAAAAAAATATTTTATTTATTTATTCATGAGAGACACAAGAGAGAGGCAGAGACACAGGCAGAGGGAGATGCAGGCTCCGTGCAAGGAGCCCCACATGGGACTCGATCCCAGGTCTCCAGGATCACGCCCTGGGTGGAAGGCAGATGCTCAGCTGCTGAGCCACCTGGGTGCCCCCTTTTTTTCTTTTTAAAAACAGAAGACTCCAGCAGAGACACAGCTCAGAGGAGAATTCCCAGAGAGTGGGGACGCAGGCAGGTCGCCTAATTCAGGTCTAAGAAAAGGAACAGCGCAGGTAAGGAGTCCACCTGCAAGAGCAGACGGGAGGGTTTGAGCGTGAGATGGCCACAGGGCGGAGGCAGGAAGTGGCCCCGCACGTTCAACACACACGGTGCTTCTGAGCATTGCAGCCTTGAGAAGAACTGGGAGAAGGATCTGCATTCTCAAAGGGACAGTAAAAAAGGGAAAGACAGACAAAAATAAGGCAGCCAGGCTCCCTAAAACAGCAGCAAGAACCACAACAAACAGCTCAGGTATTCTGTGGTATCTTTGTAAGAAGCAGCAGCTCGTAAGAACTTGA